GAATATATGTAAACTAAAATATATATAAGGCTTTTGAAAATGTTAACGTATTTATCGAGTTTTGATATTGAACGTTCTTGTGTAAATGAAGTCCCACATGTCACGTGAGTGCTAATCTAATTTGCTGCGTGTACAATTGTGCATGGATGATTATTTGCGGTAATCAGGGTGCATACGGTCTGTGTATGAAATCGGTAAATACATAGGTACGTTCTAAGCTCTTTATAATAGGGACATTTTATTAAAATTGTAATTTTGACTTGTCGGTATTTACAACTACGGTATAACTCCTTTGACATGAGAACAAAGGTTTTGTAAAAGTTGTATAATGGATGAACATTTTTTTTTTGTAGTTAATGTTTTTTTAATTACCTTCCCTTTTTGAAATATTATATGTAAAATGAAAAACAATATCCTGAATAAAATAAATATTTAAAAAAAATAGACAAATAGATTCCATTGTTTAGAATGTTTCTTCTATTTAATCAGACGCTAAGATATAACAGACAAACACACTTTTATATTTTTATATAGTTATTAGTAAGGATAATATTTAAACAATTTACGATCGAAAAAAAAATGTTAAATTATTTTTCACTTTGATGCTAATAAATATGACCTACTGCGTAAAATATCGCAATAATGTATGAACAGATATCCTATTACATCCTGTCAACAACACTTAATAAAAAGAAACTCCATATTTATTATGTATCCCGTAAGTCGTTTTACTAAAATTACATACTTAAATTATTACTTTTGACCTAAAAAACGTATATAATGTTCAAATAAAAGTACACATATTCTGAGCGTTATTTTGTCACGATATTATCAGCTTGAAGAACATGATTGACATCATAAATTTAAGAATTTTCCCGTAACCTTTATATTCACATTATGTTGTGGAAAATCCAAATAATCTAACATGAAAACTCGTGTGGGCCATATTATTAATATGCTATTTTTAGAGATTTAACCGAGTAAGAAATGATACTGAAAATCAATTTCAATTAATAACTAATTTTTGCACAAAGATTGTAACAAAACTAGTTATTTTGAGTTAAAAACTAAACTACTGAACCGATTTTGATAAAATTTCTTCAGTTTTTTTATAATTTGGAAAAACTTACAGAATTTTTTATATCTTGAAAAAATTCCAAATCTGTTTATAAATGACGAAGTTATAAGATAACTAACATGTAAATATACAATACCTACAAATAGAGAAACTTTTACTTTTTTTTTAAGTTAGTTGAAAATAGAGAGTTGTTCCCAGTATAAAGAGATAGGAATATAATAATAAGACAATAATTTTAGCATACTCGCATATGGAATATTATTCTTACACCTGGATTAGAGCACCATAATACAAGTACAGTTCCTTTCATTTAGACTGCATTCACCGGTCATCAACTGTTATATGTTGCATTTACATACTTGTTTTACTTTTTTATGCATAAAATAGAATGGTGCACTCACCTATAGTAAGGGTATACAATGAAGTGACGAAAATGTGTCAGTTGACCCATCGTAATGAATTTAAGAAGAATTGACCAGGAAGATTTCCAGGGAGGGTACTGCGTAGAAGTCAACCAGATAAGGTATAATATTCCTTCTACATTCCCTGTTTGAATGTATTATGGAGAAGTTTGTAGTATTTTATAGGGTTGATCTTCAGCATGTTTTCATTGAATCTATAACAAAAGCACGTTACAAAAGGGGCCTGATAAATTCATCAGGAATCAACTACGATCGTTTTTAAAATTCGCTTTACATAAAGGACGACTTGTCCCTATTGCTACTAAACCAAGCTCTGTTGCTAGCTACGGAGCTGTTAAACGCTATTACTGGTCCTTTTATTAGGTACTTACATTTATATACACCTTGAATACTAAGATCAGAAAGTTAACTATAAACGTATTAAGATAAAGATTTTGAAAGTCATAATAGTTTAAAGACAACAATAAATTTCGACTTAGTATGAAAACTAACGCAACAACCAAAAGTACTAACAAAGTACGTCACTTTTGTGAGATATAAATATTTCTTTCTTTCTCTCTTTGCCGTATGTTCCCAGTATAGAATTGGCCACACTTTCCTTTCCCGTGGGTATTGTAAAAGGCGACTAAGGGAACTTACTGGTCACGGAATGGGCAGTAGCGTTCCTTTTAATACATCACCAAAGTTTAATTGCAATTGTCAACCCGCCTGCCAAGCGTGGCAACTACTGGCAAAACCTAGGGCCTATGTTCAGTAAAGGTAATATAGAAAGTAATAAATAAATATATCATCATAACGGCTGATATGGTGATATATTTTGCTAGGAGGACACTCACTTCAAAGATTTTTTGACTGACTGACGGCCCACCTGATGGAAAGTGGTAACCGTCGCCTATAAACATGATCAGTACCATGGACATAACAGAGTATACTGTTTCGCCCATGATACCCCCCATGCGTTGCCATTCTTGAGGACTCAGGTGTTATTCCTCTGTACCCCTGTAAATTTACGCCATATCCCACCCTTCAAACCGAAACTCAGCCATGCAAACATAACTGCTTCACGGTAGAAACACGAATGGGACAGAGGTGCTCTAGCAAACGACTTTTGTACAAAGTCTCCGTCTGGTAATTTGCTAATAAAATCGTTTTGAACATGTGTTTACACATGTTAAATTACGTAATAGCGTGATTCAAGGATGATTATGCTTACAATTACAATATTTTGCGTGCATCTAAATAAACGATATAATCTGAAGTTATTTCTTAAAGGGCCTAACTAAATTACAATCAGTTGAGTTAAGACCATTAAGAAGTCTTTATTTTGGCTGTGTTTGGGTTTGAAGGGTGGAAGATAGCTGTGAATTTACAGGGTACAGAGGATAACACCTGAGTCCTCAGGAATGTCAATGTATAGGAGTTATCATGGGTGAAACAGTATACTCTGTTATGTCTATGGTACTGCTCATGTCTATAAGCGACGGTTATCTCTTTACATAAAGTGGGCCGTCAGCTTGTTTGCCATTTTAAGTTATATAAAAAATAGCAACGAGGGTGATGATGACCTAACTTCATTCACATCGTTTTAACCTCCGCTGGTGATCTACTATTTGGTATAGTCAAACACATCATTTCATTAAATAAAAATACTCGTAGAAACAAGTAAAATTATTGTCCTAAAGGTAAAAAAACTGTAAAAAATGTCATATTATTCTATATTGCTAGGTAACAGTATTCAGCTTATTAAAAAAATATCCGCAAATGTTTTTATTCTTTAATATAATATTTTTCATAGAACGTTGGCTTATTCCACGATCATATAATTTTAATAAAGAAAAATATTACAAAACGGTTTTGGTTTTCTTTAGAATTCAATATTTTAACTTGATTAATATTTGTTAAAAGAAAAATTATGGGAACAATTAATTCTCTCTCGTTTATTCATTAGTGAGGGTTCTGAGCCTCAAATTTTTAAAAAGAATACTAGCTTTTCGCATATATCGTACGAATAGATTACAGAAGTAGAAAAAATAATGAAACAAATTACTTGTATATGGTGTATCAAGATAAAACTACACCAGTTTTTAAGTTACACCTTCAGGAATACAACTATGAAAACTGTATTCGCATTAATGCTGTAGTTTTTACATGATTCCGGAACAAACAGACAGACAGATTTTAAAAAATTATTGTTTTGACTTCTTTTTGCTCATATCAAGACCCCTAATTTTTTCTTAAATATGTCTTATGTACAGACATCATCTAGTTATACTTTTCTTATTGAAGACTCCCTACACTATAGTATTATTAAGATAAATATACATTGGCGACAAAATCGTATGACATCGTGCTATAGTAAATTTGGAAAACCATCCATTAATTAATTTTCTAAAAAGCTTAGTCTAAAATTGGTAATAAAAATTTTTGACGTTTCATAATAAAAATAAATTATACTAAATAAAACTTGAACTACGATCACATTGCAGTCCAAAGTGTTTATACATTTATTTATAATCTTCTTTGCATTCGACTTAATTAAACTTTAGTGTGAAATCATCAAATGATAGTTAAACACAATTAATTTGTATAGAACGTAAAACGTTCTGGTGTTTATATCTGTTTAAACATTTGCACATGTTCTCTAGGTTAATTAATGTTAGTTTAAGCAAAATGGCTGGTTTCTTGACATTATTGAGGATGATCTTAATGATATTTCATTATAATAATTATTTATGAGAAAAGATCAAAGCCTTTCTAAGTAATTGTTCGTCTTTACTAATATTACTTCTGATGAACTTCGCTCCTGATACTATGCTAAATATTATAAATTTAATGTGAAAGCGAGTCAATTTAGTTATTTGTTACAGATGTAATTTGATAATTTAAAAGTTCAACCAATCGTAATGTACCAAACATTATATGTAGTATTTGGAACGGCAAAGGACATAGGTTTTTTATATTAAACAGTTTATATATATAACATAAATTATATAACAAGTATATAAATACTTATTATATCCTAGTTATGAAAATGAATTCTCAAACTATAGAATTACTAGAAAATAAATAATAATATTTATATAACTGAACAATGGAAATTGAATAAACTTAAATAAAATATTAAACCTTAAACTGTTTTGGACTTAATGCATATAATAATATGCATTCAGTCATCCTTACTTATATGTACTCGTATTATAAATATGAAATTGAGTTTACTTGTTTGTTTAATTTTTACCTTATAGCGCCTTAACAGCTAAACCAATCACTATGAAATTTAGTATATACTATATGGGATGGAGCAGGATATAGGTTACTTTTTATCCCAGTCAGTTATCCTGGTTACGCGAACAAAGTCGCGGAAATGTATATTATTTATTTTTTATTAATATTTCTTTATATATTAAACATGGCTGTCCAATTGCTTGGTCCATGTAAATGAATAGATTTTTATTATTGTTAAAATAAATATTTATTATTTTTTTATTTTACTGTTACAGCTGACTTCATCCACCCCTGCAACAGTACGGAGCCGGCTTGCCTCATTAAAGCAACTATAGATGCGATTCCTGGATTCGCCAAGGGCTTGCCATCGCTCGGTGTACCTTCTTTAGACCCCTTTGTCATTGATGAGTTACCGATACAGCTGCCTGGCATCAAGGTTACGTTCTACGAAGGCAAAGTCACCGGATTGAAAAAGTGTGAAGTGCTTAACGTCGAGTAAGTTACTGTTTGAATAATTCTTACTACTGTTATTTTTAAGATATTATCATGAATATCAGCCGTCAAGTAAAAAGTGAAGAATCGCATATAGTAGAAGGTATTGTGCGAGGACTATTTCCAGCAATAAATTTATATAGGCCGATAAGCATGAATCATCGAATGATTGTGATTTCTAACTCTCCAATATTTGGAAACATTCTTAAAATTAAATTAATATAAGTAACAGCAATAGGTCCGCTTCCTGACATTGAATTCAAATATGCTCAAAAATTGAACAAAAATGGCGTGAATTTACTGGGTACAGAGGAATAACATCTGAGTCCTCAGGAATGGCAACGTACGGGGGGTATCATGGGCGAAACAGTATACTCTGTTATGTCCATGGTACTGCTCATGTCTATAGGCGATGGTTACCATTTTCCATCAGGTAAGCCGTCAGCTTGTTTGCCATTCTAAGTTGTATAAAAAAAAAAATTACCATACAAGGTATTACAGTTATCACATTTTTTTATATCTTACGAATCAACGTCGGCAATGAAGAAGAAGATATGTAGGTACTATTTAGGTGCAAAGTTTTTTTCATCGCATTAAATCTCGATTGCGTATTTAAAATACCTTATGAATCTTCTATTTAATCATAGTTATAGACTAACAGATTCTATCATTTTTGGACAACATGTACATTTTCCTGCTACGAATAAATTTAGTTTTTTTTTATTTATTTCTTTATACAATTTAGAATGACAAACAAGCTGACGGCCCACCTGATGGAAAGTGGTAACCGTCGCCTATAACTTAGACGTAGACTTGAGCAATACCATGGATATAACAGAGTATACTGTTTCGCCCATGATACACCCCATGCGTTGCAATTCCTGAGGACTCAGGTGTTATTCCTCTGTACCCTGTAAATTCACGCCATATCCCACCTTCTAAACCGAAACACAGTCAAGCAAACACAACTGCTTTACGGTTGAAACACGAATGGGACAGAGGTACCCAAGCAAACGATTTTTGTACCAGTCTCTCTCTGGTAATTTAAAGAAATACGAAGATAAATTAAATAATTGAATATTTGGAAATATTTAATTCACGCATATATAGCAATCACTACTTTGGAACGCACGATGCGTAGAAGATTAGTCTTAATTGTTTTAATTGAGTAACCAGCCATTTATTACCTGAGAATATGTTTCTAAGTAATCCTTGGTCTTAATGGCCCTTTAACGTTTCAGTATATTTTTTTATTACACTAAGAACGGCAAACTAGCTGACGCCCACGGTGACGGTTTACCAGAATGCATATAACCAAAGTTGGATAAATGTCTTTTTACAAGTATAAGAAAATTTGGAGTTGCACTTTACATATACATCATACATACAATATTTGCAGTATGGTCCCAGCATAAAATGGGCCACCACTTCCTTTCCCGTGGGTGTCATAAAAGGTGACTAAGGGAACTTAATGTTCAAGAAATAGGAATCAACACCCCTAAAACATCATTCAATCCTAATTGTGATTGTCAATCCGCTTGTCAAGCGTGGTAACTACTGCCCATCATGACGAATTCAATAGAAATTGATCATAATTTCCAGAGAGAACCGCGTGGAGGTCTACCTGATATATTGCAAACAATGTGTCTATTAAATCTCATTACTAACAATCCCTTTCACTCCACCTTAAAAGATATACAAGCAGTGCCCTAATTTTATTTATAAATGGCTTTTACTCACACCTTTGCCCGCGTGGTATGTATATGTTCACTAACCGGGATAAAGAGTAACCTATGTCCTTCTTCTCTTCATATAGTACGTGTATATCACTTACATCATTTTTAAAATAATACAAACGAACAAACACACATTCACATTTATAATATTAGTAAAGATACGAGTTTTACTAAATAAAATTGTAATTAAAATTAAATTTTTCCTGGGAAAAATTGAGAATCCTTAAAAAGGATTCTCAAGAGTATTTTCCTAGATATAAATTTTACTTATTCTTATATCTATAGGGATGAAATGTTTCCTTTTCTATGTTAATTTATTGATCGAAAATTTTTATTATGTTCATTAACGTAGACATCGAAAGTCATATAAATGTCTATATAAAAAATTTAACACGTAAACCTATTAGATAGTAACGTGTACTGATAATACAGACTTGAAATTATACTGTATACATATAATATATAGTATAATCTAATGTAAACTTCTAAAATAAAACCGACCGTATATTTTAATTTAAAAAATATTTTTAAATATTATATTTATAGATACTAGCTACAGATCCCCGAGTAAAATACTAAAATAAAAGTATCACGAATGAATGATAGATAAAAATGCATTTATTATAAATAGAAATATTTTATAATTTACACAATAAATAAAAGTCCAAATTAATATTATACGTAGTAGATAAATTACATTAATAATTATTTTAAATAATAAAAACATTTTACAATAAACACAATAATATTAATTAATTTAATCAGTTCTGTGAGTATATTTCCGCTAAACGAAATGGTACGAGGACACGTCTTTGATACCAAAGATCTGATTATTACAAGAACCTTGCCGTATAGTAATAAGGCGTTTCTCACAATTATTTCCCAAGCAGACAGTTGTCGAAACCTTTTGTATGAGCTAACATAACTATATAATTCATACATAAGTATATCTCCAAGGGTAAAACGATTAGATATACAAAATTGCGCAAGTATAATAACTGTGTGATAGCATAAAATGTACTATAACAACTGTTTGGCACAATTATGTGTTTATGAGAAAGAATTACACCTTCGGTAACAAATAATAATAGAGAAACGCACAACGGTTTCATATACATATGACAAACATGGACTAGATATTTTCAACAGTCATTTACCAGTAATAAGTATTATAAGTATTTAGAATGTTAGATAGAAAAGAGACTTTATAATTTTAAAAGAAATTTGAAGTTAATAAATAATAAATTGTATAATTCTGTAATGCACATTGCATTGCATAGGAAATGATGATTTTAAAGGTATTTATTATAATTTTTTGAAGCAGTTGTGTTTGCATGGCTGTATTTTGGTTTGAAGAGTGGGATACGGTGTGAATTTACTGGGTACAGAGGAATAACACCTGAGTGCTCAGGAATGGCAACGCATGGGGCATATCATGGGCGAAACAGTATACTCTGTTATGTCCATGGTACTGCTCATGTCTATAGGCGACGGTTATCACTTTCCATCAGGTGGACTGTCAGCTTGTTTGCCATTCTAAGTTGTATAAAAAAAAAAAAATATCCGTTCCGACAAAAATTTATGAAGTAAATAAAAACAGTTTAGTTTCATACTTAGATATATATAGAATGGACACTATTCACAGGTTTCGGCATGACATACCTCCTGTTACGACTAACCCTGTATGTATAGTAAATAGTGTATTTCTACGAACTAAGCAAGGTAATAACCATCGCCTACAGTCATGAATATCACAAAATATACTGTGACGCCATGATACCCTTCATATGTTGCTATTATGAGTCTATCTATTTTAGCCCGGGTTAACCCATTGTTGGGTATAGGCCTCTCTATAATTCTGCCAAATAACTCGATCTTTCGCCACGTACATCCGGGTTTTGCCCACTGCTCTTCTTATATCATCGACCTAGCGCATGGGTTATCTCCCTAATTTCCTCCGGCTAATTCTTGTTCTCCATTCTGCAGTCTTACGGCTCTAACAACCTTTCTTACATCTGTTTTTTTTATGTATCTTAGAATAGCAAACAATTTAACGGCCCACCTGATGAAAAATGGTAACCGCCGCCTATAGACATGAGCATTTGTTTAAATAGCCTGCCTATATCCACTTCAACTTTTCGGATTTCTATTTTTGGAATGTAGTTAATGAGCGAGATAGCCAATATAACTCGTTTCTCCGCTCTTTGCACAACTTTGAGCTTCCACAGATGTTTTGAGTTGTAAAAGTGCAGGTCTCTGTTCCATAGAATTTATTTTTATTGTTAGGGTAGCAAACGAGCAAACGGTCCACCTAACGGAAAGCGGCTACCGTCACTCATGAACACTTGCAATACGAGAGAAGTTACTTGTGCGTTGCCGACTTTTTAAATGTTTGTAGGCACGTTTTTTGAAATTTACCATACTATATTATAAAGAAAAAATTAAAGGTGATAGCTAGTTCCACAGTCCTCAAAGTTATCACAGGAAGGATGCCTGCACTGCGTGTATGAACACGCATCTTTTAAGGAAGATTAGTGCTCGTTTGCCGAGCCGAATTATTCTCTCAATCTCCCTCATTTGTCCATATTCTTCGGGTGTAACATTTTGGCACAAATATGTATTAGTACTTTAATATAATTTCTTACAAATCAAAATACCGAGTAGAGTAGTAATAACGTATGATAAAATTCCAAGTAAACATGACCTTTCATATTTTCCTATTCAATTCCAGAGCCTACTTGGAGAAAAATGTATTTATATTGGAGGTACGTTGCAACATCACGATCAAAGGGAAATACACGGCTGTTGGTAGATTATTACTCTTCCCCATCAACGGTGAAGGAGACTGCAAAATTAAAATTGGTAAATGTTATCTGTAATAACTAAAAAAAATAAGTTCATTCATAATTTTTCACATAATCTCTCATAATCTCATTTTTCTTTAATTTGGTAAGATATATTTTCAGATTGATCTCATGGAAACGTCAAAGAAAATAAGTTCTAAATAACTGGTTGTGTCCACGAGATAAGTCTGTATCTTTCTATGCGGAACAAAATCGACTTGTTAAAATGCAATATTGCTTAAATTAATGGGTAAAAATTAAATGATAACGTCGCCTGCTTACTGGTTTACTCTGGTGAGACTCCAATAAATGACAATAGGTGAGGATGAAGTAAGGCTATTTGACTTATCAGGATACATTAAAAAAATTTAATGAACTCACAAAATATTTTACTAGCAACGGGGTGGATAGACCCAGTACCAACAATTCCCTCCATTCCAGTATTCCAAACATTAATGTCTTCATGTAGATGTAGATAACAATTTATTAATTATAATTTGTTATTAATTAAAATAATGTAATTAAATACAATTAACGCAGTAAAGAAAAAGATCCATTGATACTCGTAGCAAGCTATTATTTTTTAATATTTACTTAATTTTCTCTTAATTATTTATTTTTAAACATTCTTTTTCTATTTTATTCAAATGTATAAAAATATCAGTGTATGAATTTAGAACCTCACTCTTATACACTTTTTAGAACTGATATAAATATTTTGTTTCAGTAAATTCAATTATTAAGTTGAATATTAAGACGAAGTACTTTAAAGATACTGAGAATCGCGATCACTTCGGTATCAAGAGCTACAGGTATACCTTCGACTACGGGGAAAAAATAATCTACACCATCACCAATCTGTTCAAGGGCAACCCTGAATTAAGTAAGTATATTTTTTTATTATTATTACAGTAATCCACACTTCTGTGAAGTTATAAGTAATTATCATATTAAACTGTCTTTTATATAATTTACTGGGTACTGAGGAATAACACCTGAGTCCTCAGCAATGGCAATGCATGGGGGGAATCATGGGCGAAACAGTATACTCTATTGTATCCATGGTACTGCTCATGTCTATAGGCGACGGTTACCACTTTCCATCAGGTGGGCCGTCAGCTTGTTTGCCATTCTAAGTTGTATATATATATATATACATATATATATATATATATACACATATATATATACATATATATATATATATATATATATATATATATATATATATATATATATATATATATATATAATTATATATATAATTATAATATAATTGCAAAAATAATTATTTAATTTTTTTTCTATGTAAATATATATTAATTTCTCTCACAAAATAACAACATAATAAAAATTACAACTACACAGTTTACAAAATAGATTTATGATTGTCGAAACTACTGTATGTAAAAATGCGGGCGAATAGAGAATAACTTCTTTATATTATATAAAATTATATATTTATAATTATATATAATATATTATAATAAAATTTAATGTCCATTAACTCTTTAACGTAATATAATACTAATCCGTACAGGATTAGGATATTGCAATTGTTCGAGATAATTATTAATTACATACAATAAATCAATAAAAATATACTAAACAGTAAAGATCCAGTAATTTGTAGACAAAGAGGAATCGTATTAGTTGTCGTCCTTGTAGTCAACCGGCGTTCCATTGCAGTTGCAATCTCATCCCCATACTGGCAATAATGTCGTAACTTGATTAAACCTAATATAGGTGGCAATAACTGCTAGTATTGCATAAAATAAATCAATGTAGCTCCAAGTAAAGACGCGGAATTACCGTGCAGCTGAAGTATGTATTTAAAATACTAACCTTTACCTGCGACTTTGCATGTGTAACTAGGAAATATTAATTTACTGTAATAAAAAGTAGTAGCCGGTATCCTTCTCCATTCTAAATACTAGTTGTAAAACAAAATTTTATAATATTGAGCAAAATGTAACAAAGAAAAAACTCACTTTTACATTTAGAATATTAAAAAGAATAACAATTTTTGGTTTTATAGAAGTAAAATACTAAAACCACAGTATAATAGTAAGAACCACTTTAAAATTACTTACACTGTAACTGTAAACTATTTCAAAAATATAACACAAATATTTATTCATAAATGCGATCTATATAGGTAATCCGAAATTTTTAGGGTAATGTTATATTAACAATTTGGATACGCAAAAGCACTACAATATTTTCAGTTTTACGTTAATGTATTACTAAATATATTATTATTGTAATATATAACTCTCGCTGAACACCCCGTCAGGGACCTGGCAAAAGGATAAGTTTTAAACCTACGTCAAAGACCAAATTTCCGCTCCATGCAATAAATAAAAAATATATTTTCATTTTAAAATTAAGAGAATATTAGTAAATAAAAATTTTGTTAAGTCAGGTCAAGCCGAAAACTAGCTTATCGCGCCTTACGACAAAAATTACTCCAAGTACCTATCTAAACAATGTTTAACAAAAATCTGTCTAAATAATTACACATTGTTTAATTTATTTGTAATATTATGTGTCAAAATTTATAAACTGTTGTAATTATTTCTATTTCTTTTTCTAATAATATTTATTATTTTGAATGCTTTTTTTATTTTAAACTAGCTGTTGCCTGCGATTTCGTCCGAGTTTCTGTCGTTTTTCGTAAAATAAGTAGCCTATGTCCTTCCTCACGGTTTAGTGGTTTTGATGTAACAGACACATTTCACCTCACTGCTCTGCTCCTATTGATCGTAGCGTGATGAAAAGTATACTATAACCTGCCCAGGAGTATGAAGAATAATTATACCAAGTTTCGTTAAAATCTGTCGAGTAGTTTTTGTTTCTATAACGAACATACAGACAGACAGACAAAAATTTTACTGATTGCATTTTTGGAATCAGTATCGATCACTAATCACCCCCTGATAGTTATTTTGGAAATATATTTCATGTACAGAATTGACCTCTCTACAGATTTATTATAAGTATAGATAAGACAGACCTTCTTTAGACTGAAACAAATGCTTTTGTCATATCAAGTTTAAACATTTATTGAACACCCGTCTATTGCAAGTTTTACTTTTTTGTGGTAAGACAAACATTGTTAACGTAGTCAGTGGTCGTTATTATTCTTTTTCTTCGCGACATTGTCAATGGTGATAAAAGAGTTCTATAATTTTTTTATACAATTAAAAAAAAAATTTACTAAATTTATTGTCAAACAAATTCCAAATTTTCCATAAATTATCGACAGTTTCATAAATCAATACATTAGTTTTTTTTATTGTTATTTGTATGCTGTAAGTAATGTAAATAAATTATCTATCTATCTATCTACCTTTCAACTTCTTTACCCTGACTGGTCTGAAAGGAAACGTCAATCACAAGTAAAATACATAAAAATCTAATTTATTAGAAGCCACCTCACACTCACTCTCGAGATTTCTATTACAGTAAAACATTCTAGCCTGAAGTGGTTCTAGTTTATATATCACTTAGATAGTATAAAAAAAAACGTAAATACTGTTATTCTCAACGTATTTGTCAGACCTGTTTTTTCCAATATTTCAATACTAGAAGTAAATGTGAATATATATATTTATTTATTTAACTCTTTATTGCACCATAAATAAAAATATACAATGACAAGTGAATAATTCAAGTGAAATACAGTAACATAAATACAGATTGAAATATACACATAAAGGTACAAAAGAGGTATTATCGCTAGGGCAATTTCTTCTGGCCTTTGGTTAAAGGAGAACAGATAGAATATTATACTAATCATATGAGTAACTTGTAATAGTGACAGTCTTTAATTCTTTTTGTCAATAAAACAATTAAAATTATATTGTGTTTTTTACATTGGGCTAGCTATAACCTGTAACTCTGTCTACACGAATCAGTACATAAAATATCCTATGTGTAGTAATTAGGATATATCCTAACTTATATCCTACCCGCAATTTCGTTCAAATCTGTTCAACAGTTTTTGCGTAAAAGAGTAACAAATGTTCATCTATCCATCCATTAATTAATCTATCTATTCGTGCATCCAACCATCTTTCAAACTTCCGTATTTATTATATTAGTGAGTAATTATAAATATAATTGACATAATTATAAAACAATAGCAATACCGCATTTGAACAAAATTACTTTTTCATATGTAGGGTAGATAAAAATACATTTTTCCTCCAAAAAATATAAAAGTAACGACCTCTGTTATCAATATACATACATTGATAAAACGAAAACAATAACAAAATGTGTATATACTCGTAAAATGTCTCGTTGTCTAATTTAATTCATTCAATTCAATTAAATTGGTCTAATTTAACCATAAAAATACAGAATTAAACCCTCCTATTTGCTCTGTGAGGAACTTGGCGTTAACAATTAAACATAAAACTTGTCAAATAAGAATGACTAAATTATATTTGACACTTTTTCTACATGGCATTTATAAAACTAAATTGTTCAATAATTTAAAGCGTGAGGAATCCAAACATGTTTACGTTAGATGCTGCTGAGTGCATTTACCAAACGTCACGGTAACACTGACACGCATTTGAACCGGTTGTTGAATATAAACAGATTACATCAGAGCAAACATTATCTCGACTCGCGAGAAATAAGCTGTTGAAAATAGATTATACTTAATCAACAATACGACTAGATAAAATGTTTTAAATTATAATTAAATGTTACTTACTTATTTATAGTAATATTAAAATATCATTAAAATTTTGAAATTTCGTGGTTATTTTTCATATCACAAAGATGTCAAACAAGCATACAGCCTGTCTGATAGTAAACGATCACTGTAACGACCACTGAAAACGATAAAACGTTTTATATTTAAGAAATTACAACAAAAATTAGCTACGCTTAATGTAAATATTAATATGCTCCTTTTAATAGTTTAAAGTAATAAAGTAATAGAAATACAATTCTTTTTTTAATTTTTCAATCGACTTCAAAAAGAAAGATTCTCAATTTAAAAGTATTTTTATTACGTTTATACCTCATAACTCCGTCAGTTAAAAACTTATATGAAATTTATTTTTTATCTGAAAGAGTATGCTTACAGATTGACCCCATAGAAATAACCATAATCGGTTCAGAAATTTAACACTGATATCAAAATAACTGGTTTTTTTATGAAACAAAATTTTAATACTTATATTATGCAATTGCGAAAGACTAATAACTAACAGCTTATCGTTACTTATATACATAAATACCACCATAAATATTTTTAGGTCTAATCGACAGGGTGTATACTAATGGAGACTAATGTCTCCATTACTAACAATCCCTCTCCCTCCAAATATGTCAGTTGTCACACTGCAGTGTCAACACACTACGAAACATAATTTAACATTTCCAAATATATTTTTCTAGGTAACACTGTTCTGCAATTCCTGAATGAAAACTGGAGAGTTGTGACAGAAGAGTTCGGCAAACCGGTTGTGGACTACGCTCTCAACGTGACTGTTAGCACCGCTAAGAAGTTCTTCGACGCTGTACCATACGACGAATTACTCTATGTACCTATACCTAAATACTGATAAGTATTAAACACGTTGTTGAGAAATATTGAATAAGGATTAATAATTTAAATTAATTATGTCATTCAGATGCAACTTACAACTTTTCATTTGTTTAGTTATATGTAGACATTTTGTTTTATTGGTTACTCGGTTCAAAGCTTTAGAAGTGACTTTCGAAACTGGAAAACAAAAACAAAAGAAGTTTGGTAAAATTAATAATAATAATTAAATGTATAGGAATGTATGAACATAAAAATCGAACACAAGTAATTCCACAATTAAAATTATTTCACTGAGGGTTAAATAAAAATAATACTCAATTGGACAGGCATAGAAACAGTTTACTTTTTATTTTAAAGATATTTATTGAGCTGCTAATAAATTAAAAAACAATGTAAAATTATACTTTAAGTTTTAATAAAAATTAAATAAAGTTGATTCAAAATAGAAATACATAGAAAAATAAATAGTAAGATCAATGGTCAGATTAGTCTTGCTAGATATGTGGTTAAGAACTTTATCGCTAGATACACTACGATACACACATGAGAAAGAAAGAGATGGTGAATGTCGCTATTTCGTTTAAATTCATGCACGGGGTAGCGATATCGTGCCTATTAATTACGGGTCTTCTCGACTCTCCAGGTAGCAGGACTCAGGTGGGGACCTCACAGCAAGCCCGTTCTATTGACAAATGCAAATATAATTTCTATAGAGAGCACTGTTGAGCGAAACAAGTGCCAACTCTTAATTTGTTAGTGCAATAAATTAAACGCATCTATTTTTAATATCAAAATTATTTGTGAAATAATTCATATTAATGTACAATTTTTGTTAAAATAATTACTTATAGGTACGTAATGTATGAAAATTATACATATTAATTAAGTACCAATGAAAAATTTGTGATGAACAAGGTATTCTCTTATTTTTAGTTATACTATTAGAATGCTAGTTTAAATGTATTTTTAAAATAAATAAAATTAATATAGGTACTATTATGTGAAATTATTTTTTCTAAGTTTAAAATAATAATAAAATTATTAGAGTCAAAAATCTATACACTGTGTTTTATTTAGAGAGAATTTGTTGAGTGATTAGAAATTAGTAAATTTTGATTCGATCAATTATTTCTAACTACTCTGTCATTTTTATAATGTCTATATGCGTATTTGTTACGACATCATGAGAAAATAAACAAGCAGTATTCATTAATTAAATTTTATATACCAATATTTACTCAATTTGAAAGAGGGGGTTCCTTAATTCTAATATTTAAAAAAAGGTAATGTTTGATTGATTGTTTGTAATGAATAATCTCAAAACTACTCTACAGCTTTTTAAAATTCTTTCAGCTATAGATAATTACATTATCGGCGATACTATATCTTATTACTACTACACTACACTATATATTATTTTCGAAAATTTCGCACGAATAGATAGAATTTTCGATTGAATTCGTAGGAATCTTGGCCGGATCAATAGTTTCTTATCGTGAAAATGAGATTCTTACGAGTCCAGTATCGCCATCTGGTGCATTTTATCAGAATGCATTATAGAATAGAAAGATCCTAACATATTAGTAGTCATGCGCCTCAATTTAAAAAAAAATTGTAGTCACTACCGATTTGTATAGATTCCTTAATTCTGGAATAGTTTTACAAGCTTAAGGTTTTTGTTTTTTATTAACGAAGGGTCCCGCGATTGATCATCATCTCATATGATGGGAAGCTCTAAGTTGGGGCTCGCGGGCCCACAATTAGTCTATTCATATTTGCTTTTAATTGCTACAAATTATAAGTTGCTTTTAACAATATTGTGTTTTGTATTGCTGTGGTATGCCGCAGATATATAATATGGAATAAAGAGAAATATTTATAAAAATATATAATATAATATTTATAAAAATTTCAAGGGTGGTTGTCACCATGGGCTAACTGGCCTACCTTTTTGTTCTCACCTATCATCCTTTACAGGTGCCCCGCCAGTGTATACCGTTAGCACAAGCGAGGTTATCATTCCATTATCATCCATTAAATAAAAACATAGCAAACTTTATTACAGCGCGCCTGGTCAAATTTACCGCCACCAAAATACTAGTAGCTACTTTGCGTTTAATATAATTATAGGCATCTCAACTTGACGTACTAAGTATATTTATTTATATAAGTAAATATACTTACTTAATAAATAATGGTCTAAAAAAAATTGGTGACAATTTTGTTGGTGTATCTATTTATCATAAGAGAGGACTATAGAGTCACGAATTCGATTCCTGTCTATGATATAAAAACATGTACTGTGTGTGCCTTACATTATCTCGTTTATATGATGTCGGCGCAGTATATTTTCATTTTCCACAATTCTCTGTATCAACTTTTATTTCCAAGCTTACTCTTGATATGCATCAAGCATATTATCTTTCACGCAAACCAGGCACCTTTTCTTCTGTCGTCCCCTTCCTTTAAATCCATCCACTTTTAAACTTTACACTTAACACTTTCTTTAAAACATAGCTTTCATTTCTGCGCATGACATGACCATCCCATAACCTTCTATTACTTCGTAACTTCTCCGTTACTAGTGCAAATTTTAAACTTATTCGTACATGTTTATTTCTTATTCTATCATTCCTTGTCATCCCACACATCCATCTCAACATTCACATCTAAATTTATATTAACTATTTGAATTATTGTGACATCTACAGAACACTGTAACCGACGTGCGGAATTCTGTAAATCTAATATTCGGATTAATTTATTACAATTACACCAATACATTGTTTAACAGTACCTTTATTATTACATTACAAAATATTGGGTTATTTGAGTAATTTTGTGAATAGCCTTTTGTTAAATCTTTCAAGTGGAGTTCCAAATCCTAGGAATTTTTGCCAGCAATTAATTGCTTTTTGTACTTCAAATATTCGCGATTCAGACATTGCGGTATACCACAGAATAATTCATTACCTTTGGAGGAATTGAGTTATTTTCAGCCCTTTCTTTAAATTTATAGCAAATTCATTTGTCTTAGTATTTCAGTGATACCATCCCATGAATATTATTATGTCTGCTGTACTGTTTGATATTTAACCGACTTCAAAAACAAGGAGGTTCTCAATTTGTTACCTCAGAACTTACAGATTGGTCCTATAGAAATTTTATCATTTAAATCGTTTCGGTAAAAAAATAGTTTAACTATGAACACAAAATAACTGGTTTTGCCACAATTTAAAAGATTTTTTTTTCTTTTTTGTTTTAATTAAGTGTCATTTAAGAAGGTTGAGCATTCGAATAGATGAATATATTTTGGTTTGCGTAATTCTAATTTTGATATTTAAATTCAAACTTCTTATTAAAGTGTTTAATTTGTCCATCCATTCATCCATCCGTCCGTCTATGTATATGTACATCTGTCACAGATCTATATTTCAATAAGTGCTAAAGCTATCGATTTAAAATTCTACATAGTTTTACATATTATTAGCTGCATATATTGCAATACTAAATATTACTATCTTTTACCTGCAGCTTTACTTGTGTGACTGGAATATTTTCGCACTTCTATGTAGTAGATGTGTACCAAATTTCATAGTGTTCATTAAGTGAGACGTTAAAAAGTAACAAACAAACTAAATTTCACATTTATAATATTAGTAAGGATTATACTCGAGGTATCTTTTAGCAAGTTTCTACCAAGGCTAGCTTATTAGCCTTTTTATGGGCTGTCGTCATTAGGTGCCATAGTGCGTAGATCCGTAGTAGGTAATAAAACCAAAAATTAACACGTCAATTTGCGTAAATCTGTGAGTTTAATGCAAACACCGGTCGCTGTTATTAATGATTAATGATACAGTCCGGCTTCACTCGCATAGATAAATTTTTAAAATATGTTACTTACTGACAATGTAGCAAAGACGACCAATATTCACATGGAAAGATTTAAAGATTTATTCCAGCAAGGTCTTAAATATTATGATAATCTATCAAATAAATGGCAATAGCTAGCCAGAGATCGAAACTTAAATATATAAAAAAAGAACGCTCCTACATAGAGCATATCGCTTCCTAAAATTTACGCGTTTCCTAGAGTGTTGGTTTGACCGAAACAGGCTTATCCTGGCAGGGAATTATGCATCAATTTCAAATTCAAATTCAAGTACAAATAAACAAACATCTAAAACATCAGCGCTTTTTTCTGTATCAGTATAAATATCTAAAAAAAAGCACAACCTATAATTTACTTTTTAACGTATACTTTGTCACATTTATTCCTATATTTTATAAGCCAGATAGCTAATAAATATGAATACTAGCTTTTACCTCCGACTTTCGATTAGATTACGAATATACCAAGTGACTTAGTGGCGTACTACGCATGTAAATGTTGTGAGTTCATATTTGCTTGATACCAAAAATTTTAGTTCCAATTTAAATTTCAGACTACACTTATATAAAGAGAAAACAACAAATAAACCATATTTATTAAACTAGTGGCTACAAACGCCCTCTGTCATAGTGAATTCTATGTTACTGAACTAGGTGTTATCTTGCGGAAAGCCTACCACATCTTATTATATTAGCCCTCCACTACTGATGTAATGACCTATGGCTCCCCCAAAAGAGGGGTTTTGCTAGTAGTCACCATGCTTTGGCATGCAAATTGGCAATCGCAGTTAGGCTTTAGTGTTTATGTTTTAAGAAGAACACTGCTGCCCAACTCTCAACCGTTAAGTTCCCTTATTAGCCTCTAACGACACCCAGGTGAAAGGAAGGCGAAAGTCCGTATCACTGGTCATTTAATTAGAATTATTTTGTTTGATTCCGCTATCATTAGTATATATGTGACTACTAACACTTAAACATTGATCACCACTATTACTACTAGAAGTTCTAGAACCTTCTATATTAGCCGTCATTCTTAGATTGCCATTTTGTTCACGCACGTTTGAAACGTGTTTTACCTTTAAACGAGGCATCATCAAATTATAAGATCGCTGCTCGGAGACTAGTGTTAACTTTTCGGCACCCAAACTGCGAATTAAGTATATAATCTAATATATAAAATTCTCGTATCACGGTGTTTGTTACCAAACTCCTCCGAAACGGCTTTACCGATTTTCATGAAATTTTGTGTGCATATTCAGTAGGTCTGAGAATCGGCCAACATCTATTCTTTATACCCCGCAATGATAAGGGTGACCCTCCCCAAAAAATTTTATTTTATTTTTTTGACATATTTTTCCATTTTTATTTTATTATGATTTAGCATTGAAAAATACATACAAATTTATATTTTCACGATTTTACGATCAACCCCTGTTTTTTAATCGCGATTTTTATATGCCGCAATAGACTTGCAAGATAGCAATCGAATATAATAATTGTAGTAGGATAAATTTTCATGTATAATTCTCAAAATAACGTATATGGTAAAACAACGTTTGCCAAGTCAGCTAGTGTATATATATATATATATATATATATATAATTTGTATTATTCGACAAAATGTGGGCATTTCGAACATTATGTTCAAGGTAAACGCAATATTCTTATTTGATAATGTTTATGTCTATATACCACGGTTATCACTATTCATCAGGCAGTCTGGCAATTTTTTCGCGTTCTAAGTATGAAATTATAAAAAAAAAATCGATATGTGTCTCTTACTACGCAAATGGTGATTTTAGTTGAGAACCTATTTGCCCATATTTGTCTAAAGTAAAATCAATAAATATGGGCAATATTTGTTTCAATTTTATTAGTATGTTTATTCAATACATTGCTTGCAAACTTTTACCTAAGAATTCATCATTATTTATCATCAGATAAAAAATATCCTTTGTCCTTCTTCATTTCATATAATATACATATATCAATTTTCATAGTAATTGGTCAAGCTGTTAGGGCGCTAAAAGATAACGAACAAACAAATCTCTCTTTTACATATATAATATTAAGTAAGAATTATTATTCATTTCGTATTACGCCTATAAAAAAATTATACCTATTTAATCCTATTTTAGTGGCGACTAAATATGAAAATCATTTAAAACTCATTTTGTAAGCCAAAACGCTATTGTAATTGTTAAAATAAGCACCTATGTGAATAATTATTACATTATTCGTCAAATCTATCGGAAATACCTCCAGCGGTAGTTTTAATTAGGATACGCACGGGTAGTTCGATCAGCAAACGTGAGCTATAATCAAGGACTCGTGTAAGTACTGTTAATTGTGCTATTGACCTGTTAACCTATGACCTACGACTTTATACTTCGATTTTATTAAGATTTTTCATTGATTATAGATTGATAAATAAGCTGATGACCCACATAATTGACAGTGTGATAGAGGGGAATGGGATTGTTAGCAATGGAGTTTGACAGTCCCATTGCTAGCAATAGGCCCTACTAAGTCGACCTCCATGTGGTTCCCCCTGGAAACCATTGTGAACAATTCTTGTTGAATTCGTGACGATGGGTTAACTGACCTGCTTCATTCTTGCCTATCATTATTCACTGGTGCCCCGCCGGTGTATACCGATAGCGTAGACGGAGTTATCATACCATAAGCACCCATTAAAAAAATGGACAGAGTCGGGGGGAAGGTATTTTTATACCCCATTGCTACTTGCTAGTAATATATCCACATGATTCGCCCTGCAAACTATCGTGATTAATTATTGTTGAATTCATCATGTCGGCCAACTAACTTGCATTTTTATTAATATTATTAATTAATTATTCTTACCTATCATATCTCACCGATGCCCCGCCAGAGTATACCTATAGCAGACAATTTTGCAACAATTCAAATCAGTTTTTTTTTATTAAGTGATATTTGAGAAGTTTGAGTATTCGAATGCATGAATATATTTTAGTTTGCATAATATTAATTTTAATATTTAAATGCAAACATCTTATTAAAGTATTTATTTCGTAAATCTATTCGTCCGTCCCTCCGTCTGTATGTATATCTGTCACAGCTCTATATTTCAACAAGTTTTTTTTTTTTTTACAACACAGGGGCAAACGTGCATGCGGCTCACCTGATGGTAAGTGACTACCGCCGCCCATGATCACCCACAACACCAGCGGCATTGCAGGTGTGCTGCCGGCCTTTTAAAAAGGAATATACTCTTTTCTTGAAGGTTATGTTGTCGTATCGGTTCGGAAATACTGCTGCTGGAAGTTGATTCCAAAGAATGGTTGTGCGTGGAAGAAAGTGCCTTGAAAAACGCACGGTGGAAGACCGCCACTCGTCCAGATGATTGGGATGAAACTTTAGTTTGTGGCGGGTTGTACGGTGGTGAAAATCAGCAGCAGGTATCAATCCGAACAATTCCTCAGAACACTCCCCATGATAAATTCGGTAGAAGATGCACAGAGATGCAACATCTCTGCGCAGTTTCAGTGGGTCAAGTCGGACAGTAAGGCGTTGACTATCGATAATTCGAGCCTCCCGAAAGTACTAAAACCATTGATTTAAAATTTTAAATAGTTTTACATATCATTAGCCACGCACGAAAGTGCCAAACAAGCATACAGCCTATCTGATGGTAAACGGTTACTGTATCCTATGGACGCCTGCAACACTAGAGGTGACAGGTGCGCGTTGCTGGCCCTTTATTAAAAAGTAACTTACTGGGATATATTCAATAAGCAAAATAAAATCGAAACGGATGGACGACAAATATTTGTGTATTAGTCAATAATAGATTGTCTGGAAGAGATTGTTAGCGATAAGGCCGCCTTTGGTATCGCTTCTGTATTACTTTAGCTGTGTATTCCCTATAGACATGAGCGGTATCAAGGACATAAGAGTATACTGTGTTACCCATGTTACTCTTTATGCGGTACCATTCCTGAATACTAAGATGTTTTTTAATGGGTGAAAATGGCATGGTAACTTCGCATGCGCTATCGGCATACACTGGCGGAGTACCAGTGAGAGGTGATAGGTGTGGATGAAAAGGCAGGTCAGTTAGCCCATCGTGACGGATTCAACGATAAATTAGTTACGATAGTTTCCAGGCATTAGGTCGACCTCCACACGGTTCCGTGTGGAGGTCGACCTGATGGGATGTTAATAGCAATGGGGACTAACCTCTCCATTACTAACAGTCCCTTCCCCCCAGACTAAAATGTTATGCTATGTTATGTTACCACAGGGAGACTTTGTACAAAAGTCGATTGCTTGGGTACCTCCGTCCCATTCGTGTTTCAACCGTGAAGCAGTTGTGTTTGCATGGCTGTGTTTCGGTTTGAAGGGTGAGATATAGCGTGAATTTACTGGGTACAGAGGAATAACACCTGAGTCATCAGGAATGGCAACGCATGGGGGGATATCATTGGCGAAACAGTATACTCTGTTATGTCCATGGTACTGCTCATATCTATAGGCGACGGTTACCACTTTGCATCAGGTGGGCCGTCAGCTTGTTTGCCATTCTAAGTTGTATAAAAAAAATGCCTCTGTACCCTGTAACTTTATTACTATATCCCACTAAAGTTAATTAAGATTAATTAGGCTTGTGAACCATTATTAATAAAACCCATTCATGAATTTAATAAATTGAGTTAACAGCTTGCCATACTTATTCATGAGAACTTATCTTTCGCATTCGAGTGAAATGAAATATAACGAATTATCAAACGATGCGACGCCAATTACACGCTTATTACATCTGGAACCTTATAATGGTGAGTTACACCTGCTAATATTATATATTCTTACATTATTATGCTCATTTTAGAAAAAAGTTTTTTACTGTTCTCGGGTTGAAATTGTAGGTATGTATTACTTATTTTTATGTTGCCGTGCGGTCCCAGCATAGAATGAGCCGACTCGTTCTTTTACCCTTGGTGTCGTAAGAGTAGACTAAAGAACTTAACCCTTCTTTGCATGATTTTTTTTATTAATGAAATAAATTAAGGTAATATAATTCATGTTTAAAATTAAAGGAAAAATGGTTAAAAAATATTTGACAGCTATATATATATATATATATATATATATATATATATATATATATATATATATATATATATATATGTTTGAACATATTTGTATAAATTTGATTATTTTCTTTATATTAAAATGTTCCATATCGATAGACTTAAAATTACTGGATTATGTAAATTTTACAAGTATTTAGTATAAATAAGACTATATTGTTTTCTAAAAATGAGATAAAATCATGAAAATAGAATATATGAACATTATATAATTTAAAATTTTCTTTTCAGTAAATATATAATTGCAATAATTCAAGTAACAGGTTGTCCGGCGCTCAAACATCCGCAAGGTCTAATAATGTCTATCCGTTTAGTCGATATAAAGCAGTTGTTCTCTGCGCCGGGCGAAGCAGTTATGAAACTGACTTTAATTGCATCACACATACTTAACAAATAATTATTAATTAATAATGAATTTTTGTGTGGCAGCATGGTGTGTGATATTCAACATTTTGATTGCATTCTGTCAATATGGACTCACAAAATTAGCTCGTAAGTAAACAATTATTGTGTTGTTATTAAAATTCATTTTATTTCTATATAATAAACAAATATTAATCAATGAAATTAGGTTTTAAAAATAACATTCACTATAAAAGTGTATTAATTTAAATATACGAATAATGCTCCGATGATAGAAAACACCATTTACCACCTACTACGTTTAAGTCTAATATATGTGCTCGATGAAATGTGAGCATCTCGAATGTCATGTTTACTAAAATAATAGTAGGTGGCAAATGCCTAAAAAAATAAAAATACCCTTTTTAGCACTAAAGTTGCATGATTCTTTTACTTAATAATGATTATTATTATTACAATATATAGAAAATATTATTCTAATTCTTGCATAAAAGGAACGTTACAATAAAGTTAAAAATAGACGCACTGGGAGAATATCTTTTAGAAATAATTTTATCAATATTTAAAAATTTTGAAAATAAAAAAAAAAACAAGAATATATATCATTCATATATATATATATATATATATATATATATATATATATATATATATATATGTCAAATGATAACAATCAAAAAACTTTAACGAACTCGTGTTAGAATGCCTGTTGGAAATGTTGATATTAACTAATAACCTCTCCTTTACAATCATTTGCACAAGAAACTCCATTCATTTGTTATACTCAATAAATAGAATTTCATGTATTTAAATTTTTATGCACATTCAATGAGTTAATATTAAACGGCGAGATATTGTTTTAAGCAGCATTTACGCCGCTGTCGCCCAAAGTCCCAAATTGCGTGGTGCAACAAAATACGCACCGAGAGCTCCTACTACAAGAATTACCCATTACACTATTACCATGCTTGTAACTGTGGAGCACATTAGTTCAGCTCCCAATCTAAGAGAGATTGACAATCTAAACCTATAGTTATCCAAAAACGTCCCTACAATATCTGAGGAAATGGCTCCTGTAACCATAATCCTGATTCCCATGTGGACGCAGCAAATTTATAAGCATGCTCTACAGTATCCCAAGACAAATCAAGTAATGAGATCTTGCAGAAATTATTAATCGAATCATTTCTATGCGATTTTAGGATTATTGGAAGAGTTAGGATTAGAAGCATAAGCATATTTTAAGGGGAGCCGGATGAGTCGTGTCCCTACCCCAGAATTGTCTCGTTATTGTGTATAAAAAAATCCAAACATCTCAGTATGTCTTTTCACCGAAATGACATAAAATGAGCAATTAGTAAAACTTGCTTGCTTATTTTTAAAAGACCAGTTTTAATAAAAAGAAATATCAAGATTATTAAAGAAGCCAAGTATAATAATTTAAGATTTCATTTCACAAAAAAAACTGATTTCAATAGTAACAAAACCAGTTTTTAAAAATCTTTATTTAAAAACTAAACTATTTAATCGATTTTGATAATGGGACTAATCTAAAAGTATATATATCCTTTCATATAAAAAAGAATTTACCAAATCGGTTTATAACTGACGAAGTTATGAGATAAAGAACATAAAAAAATACTGAATTGAGAACCTCCGTCTTTTTTTGAAGTTGGTTAAAAAATAAATGTACTGCTTCAATTCGAATTATCTATTATAAGATAATAAGAGCAATTTAGGTTTGGTTTTATTCCATTATATATTTAAATGTTAATTATAACATCAACAACGGAACTCATTCATATTACTAAATATCAACTCCCGTTAACTTGTAATATCTTAGTAATATATTTACTAATTAATGAGATGACTATTATAAACACTCACTTCATTGTAATTAACTTCGTTAACTATTAATAACTTTAACTCGATCGCATGGTTATAAATTTATTTATATTACCGGCAAACTATATTATTCAGGCAATTTGTATTATTTTACTCTTTTTTTTTACACAACTTAGAATGGCAAACAAGCTGACGGCCCACTTGATGGAAAGTGGTAACCGTCGCCTATAGACATAAGCAGTACCATGGACATAACAGAGTATACTGTTTTGCCCATGATACCCCCCATGCGTTGCCATTCCTGAGGACTAAGGTGTTATTCCTCTGTACCCTGTAAATTCACGCCATATCCCACCCTTCACACAGCTGCTTCACGGTTGAAACATGAATAGGACGGAGATACCCAAGCAATCGACTTTTGTACAAAGTCTTCCTCTGGTAGAAAACAATACCTAGACAATGTAAATAATACCTAGCACATCTAAACTAGACATGGGTAATATGAATACCGATCTAATATCTATATATTGGTTAGTTAGTTGTCCAATATTATTTTTAGACCAATATAAAAAGAGACTCTTAATATTTCCGTTATTGGACCTGTACTCCTATATAGATATTGTAACTAAAATATATAGATATTGCTGTATATTTCCCATCCCTAATCCAGACACGGTTATTCGTACCGTTGATCATCAATAATAAACGGCTTCATTTCTTTGCTCTCGTCTTTTACACGCATTACCGCTTACATATTTATTTATGATGTCTAGGCTGAGTATAAATTTCTTACTAATATTATAAATATAACAGCTAGTTTGTTTCTTTGTGTACCTTAATAGCGTAACCAATTACTATGAAATTTTGGTATACACGTAGGTACTATATGAGATGGAGAAGGATATAGGCCACTTTTTTATCCTGGTCAGTAAACATACCCCGGTAACGCGGACGAAGTCGCGGGCAAGTAATAATATGTCATACATTACCTAAACGTTATAGGTATTTTATATATTGTACAGATTGATTCTTCAGGATCGGCGCGCACGTGACATCCCTAGTGTTGCATGCGTCCAAAGGCTAAAAAAACCGTTTATCATCAAACGGGTTTTATGCTTGTTTAGCACTTTCGTGGTATAAAACAAATGATGGGCCAATTGATCTGACATAATTGTTTCCTGTCATTATTCACGATATCCTGTTAGGTCAATGTTTACAAAGTTCCCTTTGGACACCCTCGTGATTATTTTATGTTCAATTCATCACAAAGGAGTAACTGATTACATACTCACCTATCACCACTACTGGCACCCCATTAGTATATACTGATAGCGCAGGCAGGGTTGTCAATAATTGCTAAATTATCACATATTATATCCTAATTTGAAACACGGTATAAAACTGAATATCTCGTAATTATTATACATTCCAGTGCACCAGTCCATACATATACATACGTACATATCACTGGAATGTATAATAATTCTATGTTATCGATATCGATAGGAACAACAGTGTGTTCCTATCGATATCGATAACATAGAATCTATCGCATATGTATCTATCGTTATCGATAGGAACAACAGTGTTTCTGTGCATCAGATGGCCTCTTGCATCATCTTAATACATCAAATTCCATTAGCATCTGTTAAAAAATTATATATCACTACTCGAATATAATATAGCACTATTTGTATGAGAGTGTTGCCATCTGATATCAAAAGTGTCTAGGTCACATTCTATATATACGAAGGCCTTTGACGTGGCTTACTGGACAATGACTTTACGTAAGTTTACGTGCCCTCCGAAGCACGAAGTGAATAACAATCGTTTAAAATCGAACAGAGAGATCTCATAATTTTTTTATAGAATACACATGAATGTATACATGTATCTTATCAATCAGAAATTATAGAGAACAGGCATAGTGTTTGACAAAAACTTGGAAGTCCAAATTTGAAATTTTTCAATGGGCAATGTCTAGCTTTACCGTTATCATCATCTCTCCCATAGACTGTCATAAAAAAGGGTCCTGAGCCACCTGCATCCACTGACTCCCTGCAATGCATTTGAAGTCGCCACTCCATCTTGTGGGGGCTCGTCCTACACTGCGTTTAAGCCTAGCTTATTAGACTTAAAATTAAACGGTTATTATACTAATCACAACGCTGTGCTCACGTACAAAAATTGCTGGGGTAGCAAGAAAGCGGCAACACGAAAGTGGGACTGAAACGAATATGATATGCGATAAATGAGCCAAAATTTGTAAATATTGGCTTAGGTAGATCACAGCACATGTCTAATGTAGAGAATAACAGGACCTAATCTAGCACAGTAAAATCTAGCATGTTTTAGACAATGTGGAACTCGTTGAGGAAGGACTTTATCCAGCAGTGAGATCGACTATTACCACTAATAGTATTCGTTTGACTTAAAAATAATTGCTTTTCTAACAATATGTAGACAATCTCATAAAGTATAAACGATTTTATAGATATGTAGTTGACAGGCACCTCATAATACAGTTAAATTATTACTTTGTATATTAAAAAGTAATAAAACAAAATGTTATTACCGGTTAGGTATATAAATACAAGAGAATCATAAAATTATGATTGCATGTCCTTTAATAAGACAAATAAGGCAAATGACTACTAGTACTGTTTCTATATTTAATTTCTGCGCAACTTTGTTTTATAAATATTAGAGGTCAATATTTTTAATTCGTCGTATTTTTTGCATATTTTACAAGGTATCGGTTTTTTATTTCTTTTATTTTGTCTGGCTATTAGTTATGGCATCACGAAAATATGGCTAAGATTATTTCAACGAATTTGTACATTCAAGTAGATAGAATCCTTACATAAAAACTGTAATATGTTTTATGGGATTTTATCAAACCAATTACTAAATATACGAGTAGTTTAAGTTCTTTGATATATGAAATAACATTAACGAGTAAACTTGGAGATCGTTGTTTATTGAATAGGCAAAATTAGGAAATTTTTTGAGATAACAATTAAGTATTTGTTTTACAAAATAATCACAATATTCAACCGCTATGCGGACAAAGTAGTGCGAATTAACATCTAATCATAATATCATGGTTACTTACAAGATTCTAGTATATTATGTCAGATAGCTTAGGGCTTAGCAACATGATAATATTTAATTGAGCTCGAATTACCTTGGTTTACCTAGTAATTTTAACATAATACATAATAATTCAATACGGTAATTTTTACAACCTCTATTATCCAGTAGGTAAATGTCGATATCGATAATAAAATTATCAATAGAATTTTTGTAACTTCGACGTGACCTAATACACATTAAATAAATTAGCTCTTAATTAAGAGTTCAACTGACAGTAACTAGCATTACTTAGGTGAATGGCAAAATAACGCATTGGGCGAAAAACGTACCAGCTTCAGAAACCTAAGCGAAATACTTTTAAAAGCGGATTTAAGCCACTTACGTTAAGACTCAATCGATCCAGTCTCGAATTCAAATAGAATAAAGATAATATTCAAAGCCATATAGTTAAATTTTTGAAAGTGTGCTGTACCTTCCTAGTATAACTGGGAATAAAACAGAAAATATAAAAGTCATATTGTCAAATTATTCATTAACTTTAAAAACAATTGAACATTTTTCATATGCGACGTTGCTATACTTGGTTATGAATGCACTTAAATATATGTATATTACATACATTTTTGACAACGCCCCCCCACTCCAGTAAAACGACGAAAAAAGGTAATTAATAATGCGCGCTGTTTACTTCAACATATTCAATTGAATGCGATCCTTTCTCAGCGCCTCTTCGGCCCTCGTTGTCTATTTTGTACTTCGGGGTCCAAGGGCCTCCCTTCACTACTATTTGTACTTGGGTTCAGTATAACCGAGCTCCTCCCAATTCCAAAATCAGATTTTATTAATAGTAATATTATTTCCTTTCAGCTGACTACATCATACCCTGCAATGACACGAGCAGCGAATGTCTCATTAAAAGCACCCAATATGCTATCCCCGAGTTCGTAAATGGCATTCCAAATCTAAATGTACCAGTACTGGACCCGTTTGTGATAGATAAACTAACGATACCACTAAATGGCCTCAAGGTGACATTCTATAAGGGAAAGGTCAGTGGTTTCAGGAAATGTATCGTCGACAATGTTATGTGAGTATTTTGCCATATAATTTTGTACTAATACTACTCGATATACATATAAAGCTAACACGAGGTCCCCTATGTGAAAATAAGATCATCATCATCTTCCCACTCTTATCCAGATTTATTTATTAGTCAACGAAATATTTCATCTTTCATTTATCTCTATTCGCAGTAATTTTCACATTCACTCCCATTTTAGCCTTATCATGTTTCACACACTATCCATTTCTTTTAAATCTTCCTCTACCTTTATAGTTATCGATAAAACATGCTCTTCAATTCTACGCATCACATGTTCTTACTAAAACAGGCGGTTACTTAACTTTTTTATGTGATCAAGATCTGATGCACTAATAAATAGTAAAATATATAAGATTAAAAATAATAAGACAATAAGAAGATTGTAAAGCGTAATAAAAATTCTTAAATATCACGAATTAAAATTATTGTAATAAAATTAGCTTTTATAAAAACATGAAAAATATACTAGATAATACACTAGATATGTTAATAAACGAAGTACTGAATATTTTATTGAACTGCGATGATTTTGCGGAAGTCCATATCATTGGATAATTTTTTATTTTCCGCTACCATTAGCATGCGTGTATGCGCAAGATCACAAACACATTCAGTGCTAAGGACCAGTAACAGAGGCCTTCCCTATTAATGATGAGTCTCTGGCCTTCATTGAGTCTACATCTATACATCAACAGACAATTTATCCTTAATTTAATTGAAGAATATAATATTATCGCATTATTTTTAAATAATTACTACTTATTACGATAGTAAGCAAAATATTAAACAAATTCTATCCGGAACAACTCTAAAACTTACCTCGGTATCGACATTAATACAAATAAACACAGAGGTATTTTAAAAATAGTTACATAAATACATTAAATATAAGCCCTGAATGTAGAAACTTTTTGTAATCGATTAAAATATGACTTCCAAATATCTCATATTGACTTTACATCCAACATGGTGCAGGCATCAAATGAAATTAAATTTTGATATATTACTTAATTATAAAATCAGTGCACGTTGTGGATCGGTTCAATTACCACAAACTGGGTCCATTCGACAACATTAATATTTTATTAAATGTAAACATTGCTTGATAACGTAAATCAAAACTCGGTAAATTAATATTAGTTACGACAAAGAGTACAATGCAGTCTAAATACTGGTTTTGGACTCTCGCGCACATCAATTCATTTACTTCAATAGTTTTAAATACACAATCGGGGCTTATTTCGATGAAAAAGCTTTTACAGGTATATAGTACCTACATACCTGCTTTAGAGCCGACGTTTGTATGTAAAAATATATATAAACAACGCAAAAGTTTAAAATTAACAACTTGAATAAAATTTTATTTTTTATAACGAGTTTTGATGGGTGTAAATACATTTTCACCTGTCAAAACCATCTGGAGAACTGCGTGGAGATCGATTTGTCAAGGCTAGCAAGAGGATTACTAGTATCCATTATTCACAATTCGCTTTCCCCAATATTGTTACTTAATAATTCATATAAACTATTAATAAATTAAAATTTTCTTCTCGTAAGTATTTTTTCTATAATACGAGTACAAATCAATAAAAAGTATAGACGTAACAGTACCGAATTATAAAGAGAAGCTTTTGTTTTGCGAGTGATAAAAAGTGTTGCATTTATAAAGTTTTTATAGTAACCAAACAGACATTTGCACACCTGCCAAGGGTAGCAACTACTTGCAAAATATGAGGACAGTGTTCAGCAGTAAACGGTTAACGGCAGATATGATGATGATAAAACGGTCATATAATCGCCTCGGGATATTTAATTTAATTTTGTCATGATAATATTTACCAACCTCAGAGAGTTCATAATAAGGTAGTGAAATAAAAAATACAGTATTTTGAATTAATTAAAGATAATTCATAAAAGTTCCTTAATTTTAATAATTTTAATTTTATAATAATATGGCAAGAATTTTCTTATTAGTTATAAGTGATGATTTTTTGCAGCACTCATTTTGTATTTGTATATTTAAATTATACGTAATAAGTGAAGCAACAAAGTTTATATTCATAACTTTAAAGGGTGATGATTAACGCAGTTTTCTAATTAAGACATTTAAATAAAAAAAGCTATTAAACATTTACTACGTTGTAAGGCACTTTATTATAACTATCTTTACACATTAATTAAATTATACTATTTTAGCGCTTAAACCCTAAAAAAACTATAAAAGTTTGTCTAGACGACTGACACCGGGCAAACCATCAGGAAATACCAACTATGTATATTATTTGCTTCTACAATTATCTTGTCTCTAGTTATACACATTTCCTAGCAACATAACCATAAAAAGCCATTATCACTGGAATAAATGAGAAGTAATTAACCCTTTATTATCTTTTTAATAGACGCTCCCATGTAATTTATGTTCAATGGCAATTTTTAATTCTTTCATTGTCGTGGGATTTATACATTATTCAATTTGGTCAAACTCATAATTATGATGCATCACAGCATCACCTGCGTGAATCGATTGTTATCCTTTTTCTATTAGAATTTCTAAAAATCCTTTAGAAGTATTTACTTATGATATACAAAGATTTCATCTTATAGTAAGTATCTCTTCAACTAGTGAAGGTTGGCTCACGGAATCTGTTCTTGTCTCTTAGGAGATGGAATGATTCGGCTGCATTCGATTTTGCAGAGCCATGACTTTTTTCTGTGACCAACCCTTCTTTTGTCTACAATTTTGTCCATCATAATCACATACTCATATATAAATATGTCGTAATCGTTTTTTTATACTAATTTGATGGAAACAAGCATACGGTCTGCCTGATGGTAAAAGGGATAACGATTGTGGCCTATGAACACCTGTAATATCGGGGACATATATAAGGTATACCTGTCCAAAAAGTTAACTTTCATTTAGTATTTGTATACCATTCCGTTATACGCTAATAATTTGGTCACTTAATTAACGAAAAAAAATAGCACTAATTTAAAAAATCATTTAGTCCCGTTGTAATTGTCATAATAGAAGATGCTCTAAAATTATGTAAGAGTTTTACTTATATTCATTTAAGCATATATTACGATTAATTATGTCTATTAAATCTCATTAATATTTCTGTCATCAAATATAATCAAATAATATGAACCTTCATCTTGTTTGACACTCCAAGTTGTATAAAAAAGTTATGAAAGGAAATATAACAAGCAAAGGTATTATTTGCCACCGGAAAATTATAAAGCCGCTTGAACGAGAAATTTGGGTCGACGATTTGCATATCGTGTGTGAATTTCAAGATATAAAGTTAGAAGCCTCTGGCAGATGGACAGACAGACAGTGTACGACACAATAGGTATCCTCACGGATTTTTCGGGTACGGAACTTTTAAAAGGACACTCATTGTAGCAGTCGTATAAAGAAGACTTATAAATATTTAATGTTCTTTGAAACCGAATTAATGGTAAAAATAAAGTGGTTTTTATCGTTGTGAGATTTTGATAATCTGTAAATTGTAAAGAGACAAAATTAAAATTTAACAAATTTTTGTATAAATAAACACATTTTTAGATAAAACAAGTATACATTAGTACGTTAGAAATATGTTATGTTATTTTTTAAATTTATGTTTGCTTTTAACTAAATAAAATATTTAATTATAACGATATACATATGTGAGTAATGCAATAATTTCATAAAATTCTCATTACGCACGTATAAATATGTATTTATTTAATTTTATCCGATTTTTAAATAAAGTTCTCACAAGTTGCGTTTAATTTTAACTTGAATACAAAAACTATGTTATTCATTTATACAGGCGACAAAAACCACATTCTATTATAAAAGACATCAACTTGTTCGCCATTTGAAAATGCACAAAAATACTCCCAGCATAGAATGAGCCACCCTTTTTTTCTCGTACGTGTCGTAAAAAGCGACTAAGGAAATTTAATGGTCGAAGGATGGACAGCAGCGTCCTTCTTAAAACAACAATCACATGGTCTTCTCTTGCCCGCCGGATGATGTGTGGGCGGGCGAGGTAGGGGCCTCGGGGCGTACCCTATTACCCCGGCTTTTACTCCGGAGGCGACGACCTCCGGGTCGCTAGGTTTGCAGCCGGCATACACTGTTAGTCTGTGTATACCGGCGTGGTGTCTGCCTGCCAAGCGTGACAACTACTGTCAAAACCTCCCAATAGAGGGAGACATGTGATCAGCAGTAGACTGTTAACAGCTGATATGATGAGTATAGCCACACCTGAGGACTTAATCAGTGCACTGTCATTCTCGCGAGCAAGATAAAACTATGCAAGTTAGTTAAATTTGTAATCCCATTATTTATAATTACCGTTATTTAAATTTAGACTTCCAGTGAGATCAAATGTCATGGCGATCTAGTAATACCCTTATATTATGAAAAGTAATCTAACATTATTTGTAGCTACTATTATTTTCTTTATAACGGTTGCATACAAATAGATGTTCTGTTTGATGGTAAACCATTACCATTCTATGGATCCTCGTAACGCCAAGAGTCTCACGTTAGCTAGTTCGTTTTTAGTTAAAACTTTAATATTAACGGAGCTTATAGTTATAATAATTTAATGACTCGATATATTATAAACTGTATGCTATATTTTATAAATTGTTTAAGAACTATTACCATATTACTACCAACTATTACTATTACCAGAACTATATTTAACCTTTCCCTCCTTCCTTCTATACTACTTTCTCATTATTTATAATACTATACGTATATTTTATACACATATTTTACGCGGCAGCACCGCGAGAAACAGCTTGTATCTTAATATATTGTTTCTAAACAAATATGAATTGCACGATACAAGCTTGCACGCCTAGTGTGTAATTCATAGAATCAATTATAAATATACAAGTATTTTTGGCAAATAAATATTATTTTATTTAATTTCATTTCATATGAATGTTGATATTAAACAACATTACCTATGTATGATTACAGATCAGAACTTGAGAAGCGTCACTTTGTTCTGCAATTCCACTGTAACTTGACTATTAAAGGACAATACGATGCAGTTGGGAGAATACTACTCTTCCCAATAAATGGCGAAGGGGACGCTAAAGTTAAATTGAGTAAGTTTATTAATTTACTATTTTTTGAGACTTTGTCCGGGTGAACAAAATATATATATTATAGGATATTCTTATGTTCTTCTCCATCAATTCTTACTATTAGCAGTTTATTATTTTTACTCATTACCACTAAACGCCTCAACGACTCATCAATTATCATGAGGCATACACCTTATATATGGGGGTAGTGAAGGATATAAGTTCGTATGGACAAAGTCGCAGGAAAAAGCTTAATACGATGTAAAGTACAATATAATTAATAATGCAGAAATAAAACATGTTGCAAAATTAAATCAACGCAATCAGTTTATTATAATCAATACAATTAATAGTCAAGTTTTCGTAATTTCATTACCTTGTTTTTTATTATTACAATTAATCACTTTAATTAATTAAAACTAATTAATAAGTAAATTTTATTTAATTAATATTCATATTTTTTATAACAGCAAATCTTAGAATGAAAGTGAATATAAATACAAAGTATACAAAGGACAAAGAAGGTCGGAATCACTTTGGCTTAAGAAATTATAAGTATACATTCGATTACGGTGACCGTGTCACGTTTGATCTCCAGAACCTCTTCAAAGGAAGCAAGGAACTGAGTAAGTAAACAGTATTAATAATATTTTGGCTTAATGATTATTAAAATTATTCATATTACGAAAAGTACACTATTATAGTAATTTTCACAATATCATATGATCCTTATTAACCTGCAACTAATATTACCAAAATAGGTTTATAAATAGTGAACATATGGCATTATATACACAAAAATATAAACAAATTGCGAAACTCCTTATTTTTGAAGTTAAATTCATGATAAATAGACACACAAATCTCACCATAATAGTTTACTATAAACAATCCAGATATAATTGTCCACGTGATGTATAGTACTAGGTGTTTCGTTCAGAAATAAATCACAAATCATTAATCATCATCCACAACACTCATAAAACACATACATTGTGGCAATATATATTTTTTCAGGTGATACTGTTTTAAAGTTTCTCAACGACAATTGGAAGTTGGTCGCCGAAGAATTCGGAAAACCTATATTAGATTACGCTGTAGACTTAGCGATCAGAACTATCGAGAGATTCTTCATCGCTGTACCTTATGAAGAATTAATTAATGTTCCTATAACATTTTGAATTGATCACAAAATAAGTTTATATTAGACTAATTGTTGATACTTCATGAACAACTAAAGAGTTAATAGACAATATTGGCTTACTATAATTACTTCACCAATAAAACAATACGAGTATTTCGACACTAATAAAACAGATTATTTCTCTCATTCTCAGACATTCTCAGACGAAACTGGTTTAAAGTTATACAATGAAAATTTAAAACCACTTGCTGAGGAATTTGGAAAGCCTATAGTAGATTATGTTATAAATTTTACTAACGCGTCGTATGAACAATTGATTAATGTTACCAAAAGGTTGTGAATTTATCACTAAACACAAAACTAGGTTTACACTGGTTAGGTTAGTTGTAAGTTAGATTGTAAGAGTAACTGAAGACTTAATAGACAATGTAAGTGTATTCTTACTACTTCACTAATAAAACAATATAACAACACCACTAAAATAATTTCCTCTTTGTAGTTAAGAATATATTTTTTCAGGTCAGACTGTTTTAACGTTTCTCAACGAAAATTGGAAACTAGTTGCTGAGGAATTTGGAAAGCCTATAGTAGATTATGCTGTAGATTTAGTTATAAAGAGTATTGAGAAATTCTTCAGTGCTGTACCGTATGAGGAACTAACTAATGTACCAATACCACTATGATTTTATAAAACAAAATAGGTTTAGATTGGTGAAGTTAGACCTTATGAGTTGTAAAGACTTAATAATATAAGTATAATTTTAAGTTTAATAACTGGTTTTATTTAGATTTCATTGGCATATGTATCTACCTATTAAATGATATAAGTTTTTTTTTTTTTTTACAGCAAACAGTAAAAAAAGGCAATTTGATTTTTCATATTACTCGTACAACAGGTAGTCTTTTAATTATATATTTTTTATTATCATCATTATACCAGCCGTCTACTGGCCACTGCTGAACATAGGCCTTCGGCTTGAGGGATTTTGCCAGTAGTTGTCACGTTTGGCAGGCGAGTTGGCAACCGCAATTAGATTTTAGTTATGTAGTAACACTGCTGCCCATCCCTTGACCATTAAGCATCTCTTATGACACTCATGGGAAAGGAAGGGGTGGTTACTTTTATTTAATTATTCATTTACAAAAACATCTTATCAAGCATTACAGCTTTACCAATTCACATGACCTTATATGATTTATTGAACATAATGTACAATTTCTCATTAATATTTACTGTATTTGTTATTTCTCTTTTCACTTGGTGCAATAAAGTGTAAATAAATAAATAAATGTACAACAAATTTATTAAATTTATTTAAATTGTAGGAACTACTCGAGGATGATACTCGTATTATACAAATCTCTCAGATTTAAAAATTTACCGTCTGTTTTAAAAATAAGTAACTTTGAGATAATCAAAATATTTTTTTTATATTTTACTTAAATAATATGTTATGTTAATTCCCATCTCTTATAACGCAAAAATGAATATTAAAGTAATAATAATAAAGTTGTTCTTATTTTCTAATATAAACTTTGATTAATATATATATATATATATATATATATATATATATATATATATATATATATATATATATATATATATATATATATATATATATATATATATATATATATATATATATATATATATATATATATGTTTAAACAACCTTTGATACTTCACAGTGATTTACTCTAAAATTTTTAAAAACATTTTGACACAAAAGAGACAAAGAAGTTGCTTTAATAGTTCTTTTACTTTTTTTTCAACATAACACTTAATCGGTTGTATCTTATGACCATCTTAAAGTGTAGACAATAGTATTTAACTGCAATTGTGAAATGCATTTACAAACATGAAGTACCATCAAATGCTAACAATCAACTTCACTAAACTATGATTGATTCAATTATTAATAATTACATAAAACCTTGAAATTATTATTGACGCTGATTGAATACAGAATACGAAGCGTTAATTTTTAAAGTAAAATTAAACACGGGTAGTTGCGTAATTTCTTGCGTAAGGTGCGTTTTGTAAATGTCGGTGTCCTTGCAGATCTCTAACATTACCATATTTATTTAATGGATATAGACTACTGAGTGTAAATTAAAAAGAATATCCTAAAATTAGTTAGGAATATAGATAATTATACGTTAAATACACTTTTCAAAGACAAACTGTTAACCTAATCAAGTCAGAAAAATTTGTTGTGTTGGCACTGATCAAAGAACAAAACAAATAGGATTTAATAATCTTAGTAATCTTCTTGATCTGCTTATATCATTATAATCTTCTTTCTTCATAATTGTCACAAAATTCATTCTGTTCATATGAAATCGTCATCATGAAAATACGTTCTCATATATATGTCTGTTTGATTTTTTTTAATTTTTCATTGTATATAATAATATTTATATAATTTTTTTCTTGCCATATTACATCAATTAAAATACTAGTACCAATAATAGTTACACTGTTTCCAGGAGGCTGGTTCTGTAATTGTTGTAATCTATTTACTTAACCTAGTAAAATCTAAATAGTTAAAAGAACCGCTTTATACGTACTATGAATTTTTTTGTTATTGTTAAAAAATTGAACGAATTTCGTAGTTTTAGTAAACATATCGCATGTGATGACGTGACTAAACTAAGATTACAAAATAAATAAACACGACTACTAAATAAATAAATAAAAAAAACCTAATGAACTCTTTTCTCCTTCAAAAGGTCAATTATACTTTAGTAAAGCCACACTAGTCAGTAGCCACTAATTTAGTCCAATCACTAAGAATCCGGCCTTGCCGCGAACATGGTTTGAATAAATGCCACAACATTTTGCAACTTAGACCATCATGGCATGCGTGTCCTTCTCACAATCTAAAACCTAAAATTGTACACGCAAATATACCGATGGGTGCAGCGACTGCTTTTCAAACCTGTTTTCCTTGTCAAATGTAAGTCAAAGTCACAAAACGTTGATGCAATAATAATTGTTAATCTGTTATCTTTAAAATGCAATCTTATAAGTTGAAACTAAGTGAATTCGCAAAATTGAATATTTAACAACAATATACCTTGAAGATACCATACACATATTTTTTTGCAAAAGAAGTACTAATTACCTAAATCTTTCTTCACTTTTATAAGTCAGGTAAGTTATTGTTGTTGTAAAATCTTTATATTTACACTGGACACAAAAGATTTAATATGCAATGGCAGATTTATCCCATAAAATGATAAAGTAAGTATATCTTAATACATAGGCTATTTTATGTACTAATTTAAGCGGGTGAAGCCGCAAGATACAGCTAGTAATAAATAAGATGATGGCCCGCATAATGAAAGTTATGGAATGCTGCTTCGAAAGGCACACGAAGTTCCGAAATACTTTACATCAGGGAACGATACCCTGATAATAATTATAGTTATAATACCTAATGGAAAATAGTGACCAAGATATATCATAAATACACTTCATGCATTCCCATTCTTGTCGTTAAGCCTTCATATCCTGTTGGGCTTGGTTAACACCTAGTAGCTTGGTAACATAAACACGATCTGAATAGAGGTACACATGTAGACGACTTTAATTAAATTAAAATTAAAGCATACATTATATTTAAATTATAGTGGATGATTTAAAGATAAATTTGAAGAATTCAGAAGTCACAAAATACCAGCCGAAACTTCTGAATTTCTTCATTTTTCACAGTCAAGCTGTCGACCATTACAGCTGACATTGCTTAATTCGTGATCTATCTTTAATTAATAAAAATTGGCAACAGATACTGAGCTTTAAGCTTTACAAAAAAATCTATGTTTTATTAATTTTTACCTATATTCAGTTATGGTAAAACTTAATAAAACTTCATTTTTAATTTATTTAAAATTTTCTGCTTACTAACAGTGATGCCTAAAAACCGTTAAGGTTTTGTGATACGTTATGAATCGAATTCGAAACATTACGCCCCATCACTGTATTACAAAAAACATTGAAAGTCTTAACGAATTTACTGACTTATTTATAAGCACTAGGCATTAACAATTTATATACGTCATTATCACTAGTAATCTTAACAATTATTCCTAACATGTTTTCCGACATTGTCGACGTCTTATAACATAAATATTTTCTCATTGGAAACGTACCCAATTTTCAACTATAGTGCTTTACTATAAGATCGAAACTGACACTGTGACTAATATTGAAACTCTAATAATTTATCAGGAGTAGAGCGTCTTCGGCCACGCCCTTACCAAGTTCTTGTCATGTGACAAGTTACACACACTATTATTAGTGACATTTTATTTTTTCGTATAACATACCTATTACTAGTTGATATAAATTAATAAAACATCTATAGACTTTATTATTGAAAAATTATGCGCTTTTAACCTCGTACCTAATAATCTTATAATTAATCATATTTATTATACAATTTCTTTTAGATTTTATTATACTCTAAATTGAATGTTTGGAAAAAACTACACATCAGCCAACAAATTGCTGACTGTTTTTGGAATACACTAAGCGTTAGCTTAGTCCGTCAAGATTTCCTGTAATAGCTGAAAATAATAAACTATGTTATAGTAGGTTTAACAAAAAGTTTCAGGTATTTTATTAATAAGGGACTTTTTAATTTATTTCTCATTTCAATAAAAATACATGTAGCAGTAACACATAATCATGTCCTAATATGATAAGTGTTTCATATTGATAATGTCATGTGCATAAGCAATAATATTTTTCTTTATAAAACTTGGTGTAAGAAGCTCGACACGTAATATAATTGACACTTGTTTGATATAAATACATTACACTAATTAGTATAACGTGTAAATTAAATATTAAATCATAAAAAAAAATTACAGAATCTAATAATAAAACGAAACATATTATCAAGCACGCCGTAATTCTAATATCATCTCATAAAACTGCGATTAGACTTTCATTGAAACCGCTGAAGTTTCAAAGATCGTAAAAACAAATTTTATATCGCAAAGTTTGTTAATTTTCTTCGAGCAATATTTTAAAGGGCATGTGATCACGATGGATCGAGCTGACGTATAAAATTACAATTTTCATACCCGTAGCATTGGCAAAAATAAACAAGTATATATTACACCATTAATATACGCTATATTTTATATCGATAAGCTATTAAATATTTATTTTATTAATAATTTTATTAAAAAGTAAGTTATTATATTATTATTCATTAGTAAAACTAAATAGTAAAACTAAATTCTATCCGAGGGAGACTTTATACAAAAGTCGAATGCTTGGGCACCTCTGTTCCATTCGTGTTTCAACCGTGAAGCAGTCGTATTTGCATGGCTGTGTTTCGGTTTGAAGGGTGGGATATGGCGTGAATTTACTGGGTACAGAGAAATAACACCTGAGTCCTCAAGAATGGTAACGCATGGGGGGTATCATGGGCGAAACAGTATACTCTGTTATGTCCATGGTACTGCTCATGTCTATAAGCGACGGTTACCACTTTCTATCAGGTGGGCCGTCAGCTTGTTTGCCATTCTAAGTTGTATAAAAAAAAAACTAAATATAATTAATTACAATTTAATTGCTTTTGATTGTTTTTGAATAAATTAATGTTATAAATTATTAATATACACTAATAAATTATAAATTA